ATCGAACCCACAGTCAGAAAATTCGTAACGGAAGTTGTGAAACAGAGATGGTAAGCAGGCCTCCCTTAATCGCTTGCTGACACACGATAGGTGCTTGAGGTCTCGGCTGAAGATATGTTTCACGATAAGACAAGTTATCTCGAAAGGAAGAAGCTCGAGGCAAGCTGATTGACATTCTGAGTTCATTATAGTTCAATTTCACATGATGACTGAAGGAAGACAGTGCAGAAGATGGTTCAAAGTTGAAAGCTTAGTGCTCTACTCGGATTCTTGATTTTTTGGACCACTCCCCGGCAAGGCGGTGACTATCTGCCATTCCCTGTCGGAGTGACCTGTGGAATTGCTCGGTGCCTGACAGCAAGAAGCAGTGACTTATAGTAAACTCCCGTTTTCGGCAGCACACTCCCAGGTTGGGCACAATTAATTAGACACACCGAAATCTGGTGGACGAACTCCACTTATCTTTCCTCATCTATAACAGCACCATCCGGCACACTTTTTGTCTGGCACGCAAAGTTCTTTTCAATTCTTGCTTAGTCATGATAATCGGCCAATCAGAATGTAAGATTCTGCCACTTCCACTCCGTCTTCGGTCGTCTGTTAGCCAAGCAGGCCATCCCAAAACAGTGCCCAACAAAGGCATATCCGACGCTCAGATAAAAGCACTACGTATCTACGCATCGGGGCCATGCCCTAGATCGACTAAGAGAACATGTGCTTCCTGGTTTACGTCTCAATTCGGGACGTGATATCAACCATGCGATCATCTCGATGGGTGTCGATGGTGGTGGGCAGAAGAGTAAGGATGACCAGGACAGATATATATATTCGGTCTATCACTTGTCATAGGTAGTCTCTCTCGTTGTTTCCCAAGGCCCCACTTAAGCCGCGCTAGTCCGTATTAGGACATATTTCCGCTAGCCTTGCGTCTGCCGATGTACAGTGACCGGACAAAAGTGTTAACAACCCCCTAAAGACCCGCCTTCCCCACCGCCTACTGTGCTTATCCAAATCGCATACAAAAATCCAGCTAAACATTTCAAATATCTCCGAGAGCCCCGAATGCAAACTTTGATTCGATTTAATGGGTTGCATAGGCCTTACTATGTAGTGGTGTATACTAAATCGCCTGGTTTCAAAAAGTTTTTTGACTGGCAGAATATTACATAATCAAAGGGGTTGTTAACGTGAAGTCCGGTTGAGCGAGCGACCCCACCAAAAATCCACTTCCATATTAATACGTCTTCTTCAACCATAACAAGAATGCCCCCTGAGCGCTCCGATAAGAAAAAAAAGCTAATAGAGCAGGAGGGTCGTCTTTTATTAGCTATAAAAGCTATAAAAGATGGTAAATATCCCTCTGCTGCGGCTGCTGCACGATCCTTTGATATCCCTGTCTCAACTTTGAAGGCACGGATTAATGGGCGTGAATCTGCTACTGAAAAGCGACACAATCGCTTTATTTTCACCGAAATTGAGGAAGGATCGATTGAAAAATGGCTACTGGATATGGATTCTAGAGGGGCAGCTCTTACTTTGCCTATGTTGCGAGATATGGCTAATCTGCTACTTTATGCCCGAAAAACTACGCCCTCTACTGTGGGTAATCATTGGCCTGCTGAATTTATCAAACGACGCCCAAATCTCTCTACTCGATTCTCTCGCAAATACGACTATCAGAGAGCCCTTTCAGAAGACCCTAGAATCATTAAACCATGGTTTGATTTGGTGCAAAAAACAATTGAAAAGTGGGGTATTGTCTCGGACGATATCTTTAACTTTGATGAGAGTGGTTTTGCTATGGGTATCGGCGCAACACAAAAGATTATCACTTCTGCAGAATACCACGGGAAAAGAGCTCTTTTACAAGCCGGAAATCGCGAGTGGGTAACCACAATCGAGTGTATTCGAGCTTCTGGAAGTATTATGCCTCCACTCTTCATTTTCAAGGGAAAAAAGTTTCCAGAGCATCTACGCCCTTATCTTCTTTTAAATCAAGAAGGAGCACGTCTCACTATGAGTGAAAATGGCTGGACTACTAATACAATTGGTTTATGGTGGTTGAAACATCTTTTTATCCCAAATATTGGGCCAAGAGTGGGGAAATATTGCCTACTGGTCCTCGATGGTCATGGGAGTCATTTGACCCCCGAATTTGACCAACTTTGTGAAGAAAACCAAATTATCGCAATCTGTATGCCTCCTCATGCTTCCCACCTTTTACAACCTTTGGATGTGGGCTGTTTTTCGGTTTTGAAGAGGCTTTATGGAGGAGCGGTTTCAACCTTGATGCGGAATGGAGTGAACTCTATTGATAAGGAAGATTTTCTTGAACTTATCGCTGATGCGAGAATTGGTGCTTTTAAGACTTCTACTATACAAAATAGCTTTTCAGCTACTGGATTAGCACCATTTGATGCTAATAAAGTCTTGGAAAAGCTAAATGTGCGCCTGGATTCCCTTCCTCCTCTCGATATTGTCTCACAGCGACCACTCTCTTCCGGCAGTGATAGTGATCCAAATACTCTCTGGACTCTCTCAAAATTCACAAAATCACAATCTCGGATCAAAAAAGGTCTAGAATCTTCTTCTTCAATCCTCTCTTCACCAACAAAAAGAGAGCTTCAGAAGACCTATGATATGACTATCAAAGTGGTCCACCACCATATTTTTCTCCAGAATCGCTGTACCCAATTAGAGGCTACCAATAAGAAACAGACCAAAAGAGAGCGACCATACCTAAGTTTATTACCCAGAGAGGCATCTTCGGGGGTCTAGAGGGTGGTGAAGATGATGTGGTCTATAAGGATGAAGATGAAAGCAAAGATATATATTTGCCAGAGGTATCTACAAATACGGTTGTTGAGCCTACTTTACCTTCTATGCCTTCGGTTCGGCGGCAGGTGACATGTTCTGGGTGTGGGAAAAAAGGGCATACATATACTTATTGCCCTACTCGCTTTAAATCTATATTGTTTATGTGGTTTTATTCGTCATTAGAAATTGGTGATTTTTGAAAAGTTGGTGGGGTCGCCCGACCGGTAGTGACGCCCGCCCGACCGTGAATCACGTTAACACCTTTCAGTTAATGCGCATATTATGCCTTGGAAAATGAGATGTGTCGTAAGCGAGCGTTGACTGTATATATACATATTCAACAAACATTGGAGGACAATACGCTATACTCTTTATAAGCGCGATGAATGCCTTTTGTCGCACAAAGAGAAAGCTAGGGGATTGAAAATACAACCTATCAATAATGTCACAGTTTTAGTACGGTTAAATCTCTTTAAACTGCTGCTCTAGAAGAGTAGCAATATTGAGTCAAAGGAACAATTTTGAACCGACACCCTATCGTGGGCCGCTAGGAAGGGGCATGAAGCCGTCGTCTGCTTACTGCGAGCCTACCTTTCATATTATGGCGTATGACAAAATACCCAACGGAATACCTTAATTTCAACTTACTTTCCATATTGAGAAGAAGCTTATGCTATGTCTAATAAATCTAAACGAGTGTAATGTCCCAACAATCAAATGATTCATAAACAACATACGAACTGTTCTTCTAGAGAATATATATACGCTTTGTAGTGGACCTAATTCCGTACAAATGGGTCACTTATAATGAATAGGAGCGGAATCCAAAGAGCGTATGTTTTGACGCATCGATTATGCTATTATTTCAATCAAAGGAATGGGTGAAGCAGCTTGTGTATTGGCTCATCTTCGAACAGGTTATCTATTTGAACTTTACAGAACGGGATTCATCTGATGTCCTTCAGTGAGGTAGCGAATTGCCTCTTGATCTGTCTGCTGAATCTGCATCTCCCATATCAACCAAGATATCTCATCAGAGTTCCCCGAGCGAAGCGTAGTAACTATGCGGCAGAGAGCGGCATGAAAGCTCAAAAGCTCAGCAATATAAGCCTTGGATCTACGATCCCCTAGTGGGTTGTAGATACAGTCGCACTTTTCGGTAATGCATCTTGTGCAGGGTATCGTACCGGAGCACTGCGCAAGTTGTTTTAGTATCGTTGCGAAATATCGTCAGAAGCCTGCTGACCTTCGACTTTTTTTTCTGGCATTCGGTGCAAGCGAGCGAAACATTGCTTCGTTGTTTGATTGACGAGCCTGACTGAGGAGGTTGAATAATGGATCCTTTACTCGCAGGCAGGAGCTTGCGCAGAGATCGGTTCTTCGGCATTGAGATGGTAGGTCAAAAATGCGGCTTTGCAAGGTTCTGAGGAAAGAGGTTTTCACCAACGGAGGGAAAGCTTAGGAAGATAATTGAGGATTTCAGAATCTCAGGGGCAATTTCCAGACTTTATTCTTGCATTTCCACCCATGTCCGCAGTTCTTTGTTTGCTACGCAGTAAATAATCCAAAGCAAACAAAGAAACCAGCAAGATGACCCACTTTCGGCTTCCAAGCCGTCTTCCGATTGGAAGAGAGCGCTGCAGCCTCCCTCAAAATTGGCTGTATTTCTTGAAATTACGCTGGTCGGTTCAAATACGAATCATGTTTATGTGCGCTTTGAGAGACACCCATGAAGAAAGAGTTGCACCGGGGATATATTTTAAATTCATTACCACCACCGAGGAAGCAGAAATAGTATGATGGAACAAGGTTAGCAGATCTTGACAGGCGGTCAATCTAGCGCACGAACCTGTCGAAGTTCCCACACCGGATTGTCCCGATCAAGCCTTCACGCTCAAACAATTCAGAGCCAGTCTATGCTTGCGGACCAGCGCGATGAAAGTCTTTGGAGAGGCGGTAAGTCGGACGAGTCAAGCCGTCGAATCCACTGCACCAGGAAATCCGGATTGAGCTGGACGGTTCGAGCTGGATGGTTAAGCGATCTGTCGTTCAGTCTAAGAGTGTAGAGGTAAATCCGGCTTCGAATATTACTGTAATGAACGCCCCCAGTGAGCTCACACTGGGCAGCAGCCGTCGCCAGTTTGTTGGGACGATAGATTCATACCTTCTCGTGCTGTCCGGTGTTAGTTCCCATTGGGGAGACCATAGTGATTTTTGGGGTCGAGGGTTTCACCAAGCATGATGCTGTATGTCTCTGCCCGTTTCATTCTAGGCGGAACGCTAGTCTTCACATAAACCATGGCTCCAGCGTCCCGCAAAAGCTGAATTATAGGGCTGTTAAATTGAACGGGTTTATCAACCCGGGAAGTCAAACCCTGAGCAGAGTCTATACCTTTGATATGCAGATTGTCTTTAACAAAATTGGCAATCCATGCAGAGGCCATTTCGGCTTTCCGGCTGACCGTAGATGTTCATCCAATGCCACCGTTCAAACGCTCTCACCTTGACGAGATAATATCTTCCCATATTCGAGTCATCTTTTCCTCGTTTGTTGGTTGCTGGTTGCTTGGGGAAATAAATAAGGGCTTGTTGTCCGACAATGGATATTTCTAGGAAACATCAAGTATTTATACCCCAGCAACGCTATCTTGATGAAAAAAGTTTTGATGATAGTAAAAGTGACTGTATTGCTATCAAAAATTCATGTTATGCCATTGTATGCAACATAGTCAAGATCTTTGAACGACTAAGACAAGAATTTATTATGTCCAACGAAAAGTAAAAGGCTCTTTCTCAAAGGAGAGGCATCTTTCATTCCTGTTGTCTGCATGGAAAAACCTCTTGTTGCGTTAAAAGTCGATAAAAGCCAGAAGAACCAAAAACGAGGGAAAGATACACAAGAATATAAGGAATGTACTCCATTGTTGGGAATGAGATAGGGAATCTTAGGTCTTTGTAAAAAAAACAAGTGATGTTCGCTCGGCGAAAAAGAAGCCGCAATCCGCCAAGAGTCTTATCTGACAGGTTAGCCAAATCTCCTAAGGCAGATTAAACTAGAATTAGATATCTACAGGCAAGACAGAGGCAAGGAAATGAGCCATCGATTAGGTGAGGAGAGGGTATTGACCTTGGCCGCACAGAGTTTGAACAGATCTGCAGGCCACGCCACTTCAGGGGGTTTGAGGTAGTGTCATGAGGAAAATGAAAATGCTAAAGACACGACGGTTATCGCTTAGGAAGGTGTGGTTGATGCTTTACTCGCATCCGCAGACAGTCTTGGTGACATAGATGGTGGTGGCCTCGGGGGAAACACCGGTGGGAGCAGCGGTGGGGGCAGGGGCGGTCCCGGTGTAGGTAGAGTACATAGTCTCAGTGTAACTAGAGGTACCACCACCACTGACGATGGTCTCAGTGTAGGCAGTGCTGTAGCTGACGGTCTCGGTAGCGCCAGCATCACCAGCACAGGGAGTGCTCACAGCAGTCTCAGTAGCGGCGGGGCCGATGGGGATAGCACCCGAGCCGGAAGGGATATAGTCAGAGCTTGTAATGATAGCACCATAGCCGGAAGTAACTGAGCCGGAGCCAGCAGGGGTAGAGGGAGCCGAGCCAGAAGAAAAGGACCCAGAAGGAATGGAGCCCGAACCAGCGGGGACAGTGGAGGCAGGTCCAGTGGGAGCAGGGCCGGAGGGAATAGAGCCAGCCCCGGCGGAGACGCTTGGGAGGATGGAGACAGTGGAAGAAGGCAGGTTGGGGACGGAGGCTGAACCAGATGGGGAGGAGCCAAAGCCAGAGCCGGAGCTGGGGATTGTGCAGCCGGTGAACCACTCAATAATAACAATCTCAACGACAACGCTTATGTCGATGCTAGTGCAGCCACCGAGGAAAGCAGCAAGCTCAGCACGAGTATCCCAGGAGAGCAGGGTTATACTCTCGCCGGCGGCAAGGAGGCCGAGGGCACCACGGAGGTTGACGCTGAGAAGAGAAATGACTTCCTCAGTCAGGAAGGAGGTAATGTCAACAAGAAGACCAGTGACAATATCGACGGAGGCCTCGACGGTGACAGCAACAGACAGCCACAGCAGGATAACAGCCTTCAGTTCAACACCGAGCGAGCAGTCAGAGCTGGACAGCCAGACAGCGAGGGAAGTGCGCAGGTCCAGGCTCAAGGCAGAGGCTAGCTTGCCCTCAGCACAGGCATTCAGGGCAGCGCGGATGTTCACATCAATGTCAACGGAGACATTAGCCTCGAGGAAAGCAGCAATGGAAGCGAGGGCGCCGGTGGAGAGAACACCAGACTCATCGACAAGAACCTCAACGGAGGCTCCAACGGACAGGGAGGTCAGGGCATCGGTGGAAAGAGAGCCAATAGCAACGAGATCAGTACCAGCCTCGCCGTTGATCCAGGCAAGAACTGAAGCCTTCAGAGCGACATCGAGACCGCAGTCAGAGCCCTGAACCCAGGCGAGGAGGGAAGCCTTGATGTCAGCACTCAAGCTGCCAACAATACCACCAGAAGCGCAGAGGTGGAGACCAGCCTTGACATCAACATCAAGGTCGACATGGGCAGAGATGAAGGTAGAAAGAGAAACCTGAGCGGAGGCACTGAGGACAAGAGTAGACTCTAGCTCGGAGGCGTCGAAGATACCATCAATGGTGACGTAGATGGATTCCTTAGCAGCCAGGTCGGCACAGGTGGGGATGTAGACGGCCAGGCCGGCAGTGACACCAGCATCTAGAATGGTGACGGAGCCCTCACACCAGGACAGAAGCGAGGTCCTCAGGGATCCAGTAATGGGAGTCTGGCTACCCAGCCAGGTCTTCAGCTCAGCACGGGCACCAGCGTGGATGGTGGAGTGACTGCATCCAAGAGCACCACCCTCAAGAGCAGCAGCACCGCGGGCACTCAAGCCGGCGAGCAGAGTGACGGAGTCTTGAGAGCTAGCACCACCACCGAGAACGGTATCGAGGATAGAACCAACTTCATGGCCGACGGAGCGAAGGATCTCAGCAACAAGGCCAAAAGTACGGCGGTCGACAGAAACCTCTGCAGGGTAAGCGAGAATCGAACCCGCCAGACCGGCGAGCAAAGCGATAGAAGAACGCATTTTCTTCAGCGTATGTTAACGAGTTTGCGTATGATTTATACCAAAAGGTATCGTAAGGGAAAAAGACAGGAAATGAAGTAGCAAGGCGGATCTAAAGCCGTCTGAAAAAGAGATTGACGATAGACTGAGGAAACGGTTGAAGGGGAGAAAAGAAAATTGAGGGGATTATCCTCAATTTTTATATACCTCTGATCATATTTGGGTCAGGAGAATCGGCCTGGACGGTGACACGTCCACTCGAAGCCTCGATGCACCAAGAGGACTACCCCGGTCTGGAAGCATTGCTGCATTCAGAGTTTACCTTACACACCCCTTAGGCTCTCGGATACGTGGATGTAGAGTTGGGTCTTCCAAGGCAAACGTGAATAACAGAGGACCACCAGACTGCAGACGGTTGTCAGAAAAGGTGGCAGATTTCGCATCATCTTCGATCTGCATACCAACTGTGATCCACTCATCAGCGATACCGGCCCATCACTATTCCGTGAATGTTGCCAAATCATTCAGATCCTGTACAATTGAAGCTAAATAACTGACACATACATATGTGCAAAAGGATGAGGTCCACAATGAGCACGCAAAGCTCAACGAGGTAAACAGGAATGAAAATCACAACCAAACATTCGGTCATCGCCCACATTACCTGGGTACAGGGGGATATCACCATGACCCACCAACGGTTGATGACCAATAACCCGAGAGTTGTAATTTCGATAAAACCATTTCTCACCTCCTCTTTTTTGGGTTGAAAGTCTAGTCTGTCCATGTATGCCTCTTGTAGCCCTATCAAACAAAGCACCGCATGGAAAGCTCGGTGTAGAAGGCTTCCGAGTGGTTACAGATCCCCCCAATATGGCTTGGGGTTTAGACAAGGAACATAAATATATAATCTAGACGCTTTGAGGAAATATGTGGATTCACCTCTCTACTTTGTCAATTCTACTGGAAAACCTAGAAAAGAACTATCGAGAAGTCAGCTAAAGTACCCAGCAGTAAGACTTTCTTATTTGCGATTGATTTAGAACTCTCTTATTATCAATTGATGTATCAAGTTCACGGTCAGATAAAATCAAACTGTATCCGTAATTTTCGGTGGCTCAACACTCTATCCGATGTAATGCCACAGCCGTTCAAAATGCCTGAACCCTGCCGTTTTGAATACAAGACAAAATCCTTGCAATTGCTCTATAACGGAAATTCATAAGAAAGCTTTGGGTGGTGACTCATATTACGCCTCGTCCGCGGGTATGCGGTACATACCAATTGTGTCCACTTCATGGGCTCATACGCCGCCGGTGTGTCTGTAATTCTATCTCATAGCATTAAGATCTGAGAAAGCAAGACGGGTGCATCCAAAGTTCAACAAATGGCATGATCCTTCATCCCAAACTTGACTCTTTCAAAAATGAGAAGTGAATTACAATCAATGTAACGGCCTCCACACCTCATTATGTACCGGGCTTTGTAAATTGGAACGTTTATCCATTGGTTCTACACCCCTTTGTAGCCCCCGTGCAAGTTAGATGATATTGTACTGCTACTCTCCTGTGCGTCTCACGATAGATGCATGCGCCGCGCCTTACAGCTCCAGCTTCCCAGTGGTGCAGACACTATGTACATATTCCCAGATCCAAGATGATTCTAGTGTTTTTTCGGGAAATGAATTGTTAAGCGCTGGCGTCAAGCGATCTGAAATGAGAACTTAGAATGTATCCAGAGATGGAAACGGCGGGCTCATACCTGAAATTGAACTTCTTGTCAGCGTTGATTCGCTGCTATCAGTAGGGCTAGGTTTAGCCGTGAGGATTGTCTGGAACCACAGGTCGATGTTGCTGTGGGCTGCAGTTTTGACTGGAGCGTCTGAAAGTGAGGCCCTCATTTTGACCGAGCGGCGGCTTGGCCCTGGTCGTTTACGGTGATCTTGATTTTTAGGAGATCGAGCACCAAAGCGACCTTGCTTCCGCAGAATATGGTACATTTTCCCTCGTATAGATTCAACGCTTCGTTTCACACCGAACTGTTCACTATATGCGTCCGGAAGGGCTTTCCACGGCAATGCGCGGTTCTCGTACAACCAGGGAAGAAGATTCTCCTCTTCTCGCTCAGACCAGCCCATAGTACCACGCGGGGGCATTCTGCTTGTTCGAAGTTCTGTTGATGAGAAGATTGTGAACGTAGCTTTGACAGGAGTACGCTGAGGTTTAAATTCTCACTAGGCTCAGTTCAAAGCAAAAATCACCAGCGGCCTCGAAATTGTTCCCTCGAGCCTAAATGTGTTCCGTGGATTAGTCTGATGAGGCATTTCGGTGAGCCTGAATGCTGAAGGTCTGTCCCCATATTTCAAACTTTCACCACGTCTATCAACCCTGGGTTTGCAGATCAACAAATCCTCATTATTTCGTCGCTCTTGTGCAACAATAGTTATCGCTGTTTAACGCTGTCCAACATGCGCAGCTTGTATATCTGACCACGTCTCCATGTGCGTTTAAACGTGATCTCAACAGACTTCAACCAACGTCCCCTCTGTGCCAAACATCTACTTGAGATTACCAGTGACCCTCAACGGTGCATTTCCCGCAAATTTATCGAAAATCATCGTGTTCCATCTTTTCGACTGAGCCGGATATTACGGTTGAATTTCGCGTTATCGCTACAGACAACCAGATCGGTTGCTTACTCAGATAGTAGTTACGGACCAAATCCTATAAAGGCTGCGGGTATTTCCTTAGGAATGTTGACTTAGAAAATATCGCTGTTTTAGCATCTCTTGCACAAGCATGGGTGGCATTCGAAAGGTTTCCCACCCTAATCGACACAGTAACTTTCGACGTCGGTTGGAGCGTGCTTTATCGTTGTCACCTTCCGATTCTGAGAGTGCACAAAGCCCATCGCGATCGGCAGAAGGTGACACCACAGAAGATGAGTCTCTTCAGGAGGAAATTCGCTTCTCCGGTCTCCAACGAGGGACAAACCTGGTGAACAGCATCCCGCAAGATGCTGCTGAAGACTGGATAGAGGAAGATAAGCTTGGTGAAAAGCTGGATGTCCCGAAAGAGGAAGAAAATATGGAGAGTCGTGCCATGATCGCCTTCCAGTGCATCGCAGAGTGAGTGTCTGAATCTGTTTCGAAATCAGTTCCTCCGGCTTACTTGCTAACTGTGCAATTCTCAGACTTGACACCCGAATGAAGTCAGTTGCATCCCCTTTATAGACTACGACACCTCTAATGCTGTCTTAGGAATATGCTGGGCTCGCTGAGCACGCAGATCAACAGGAGTGAAACCATTCGCAATAATCTAGAGGATATTAGTAATCGGCTGGCAGCTGTGGAGGCAGCAATAGAGACGGTGATCTCAGAAGGGCAGAACACAATGCCAGTGGGTAGAATGACTGGGTGGACACATCGTCGCCAATCAGCTTTGGGACCAAGATTACTTTTGTTACTAAGGAATGCTACATCATCGATTCACCGTGTCCGCATTTTCCCACCTAGTCTACCATATCATGCTTCATGGCCAAGTAGAGCAGGTTCTAGATTGAAGCCGCTAACCATGTATGTTCTTGAGTGTAAATACCGAAATCGGCCACTGGTGTGAAATTAAAGTCTGGCCTTGGCTGGCTAGCACGCGTTCACGGACAAGATACCTCGTGCTATTTAAGCTTTCTAGTGCCGGCCGATCATTGAATTTTGACCCACCCGCTCCTCTTGGAGCCAGATCCTGTCAATAGCCAATTCTGGGAAAGATTAAACTCGAAGCAGTGTTTAGAATTCCGAGCGACACTGACAAAGTTTTACGGCTTGGCACGCAGGGCTCTTGGCATATTATTTCAAATCGGATGACCCGTGGCAAGCATTTGATTTGACTTTGCCACAGTAGTATTCGAAATCAAATTTACCTTCACCCTCTTAGACCTTCATTCCCGAACCCTAGCCTGGAACACGCTAATCTATATATAGTTATTTTGTACGTCCCCTGGTTCTCAAAATAGATAATGTATTTTACATGACGTGCCGAGACCTTTCCTGGTGTAATTTACACGAACATCCTATACATAGATCATGTTATGGGGCAAAGGAAGAGCCCTCATCGTCAACGGTTGGTTTCAAAGACGGCCCGGTTGCAAAGAAGGTTAAAGCAGATTTGCGAGCTATTCATTGCCCTAATTTGTGGGATTTTCCACTATATCATCTACTTTACGTTGATGAATCTAGGGGCAATAATAGAGCAGGATTCAGGCTTACAGCTAGTCCCCACTTGGTGTGGCCCCCCTGTAAGTCAAATACTACCGGCGTACGCTTAGGATGGGATTATTCTCTCGCGTGTATTCAGCGATTTAACAGATACCCCGCACCTACAATACATTAGGCGATACTGTATAGTCCATATGTCTTTTACCACGATACCATGAAGCGGTAAGGGAGTAGAGTTTCTTCGGGGGAAATGGGTGGAAATTGCCAAATCATGAGGATTGTTCACTTTGTTTGGTCTCTTTGCATGAAAGATTCTATTCCATTTCAAGGCAAATTACAACATTATTACAGTGACCCATACATAGTTACCAGGAAATAAAATACGGTCTGACAGGTATTTCTGGGGAATGGCCAAAATAGACTAGCGTGTTTCAGGCTGGGGTTCAGGAATGAAAGTCTAAGAGTGTGGAAGTAAATCTGATTTCGAATACTTGAAATCTTTATACAACGGATACTCACGACCTCTTTCCTCCCCTCTCGCATCTCAGTGTCATTCATGACCTGACACTCAGCAAGCCACCCACGTCAAGCTGCCTACGCCGCTGGATATATTAGGCGTCCAGTCATCAACCTTCCCCAATAGAGGGACCCCAAGAACTCGTGCTATGTCGGTTGACGGAGAAGCTTAACCCATAACCCCTCGAGGTGTGCTATAAACACCTTTATATCTAAGGTATGCCATAATTAAGTTCATTTTACTACGTGGCTAAGAAGGGAAACGTAGCTGAGAATTTTAGGAAATAGTGACTTTGCATTTGCATAACAGTATAGGAAAACCTATTTCGGAGAAAACCTTTACCAAGTCACAAAGAAAAGAAGAGCAAAAGCTGAGGGTAGAGCCCATACTATAGAATCCATTATTAAATCAGAGATTGATTTCGTGGATAATGATATCCTTTGGAATACTTACAGAATCAAGGAATTTCGAAGAGTACACCTTGGCTATAGATTTTTGAAAGGCTGCCTTACTAAAAGGCCCTACCAGTCAGCACTGTGTGCTTAAAGTCATCGGTCTTGAGTCAAGGGTCATCATTTAAATCCTGTTCACGTCCGTCTCAGTCAGCGCTACACCCTCAAAGTAATCACTCTTCAGTCAAGGGTCCTAACTTACCCACTATTTACGTCCATCCCAGTTAGCGCTATGTGCTCAAAGTCATCAGTCTTTAGTCAAGTCAAGATTCATCACTTACAGTCTATTCACGTCCATCCTAGTCAGCGCTATATACTCAAAGTCATCTCTCTTTGATTAGTAGTCATCACTTACGGTCTATTCACGTCCATCCTAGTCAGCGCTATATACTCAAAGTCTTAAGTCTTAAGTCAAGATTTATCACTTACATTCTTTTCACATCCATCCCAATCAGCGTTATATACTCAAAGTCATCGATCTGAAGTCAAGTGTCATCACTTACAGCCTATTCACGTCCATCCCAGTCAGCGCTATATACTCAAAATCATCGATCTTAAATCAAGGGTTATCACTTACGGGCTATTCACGTCCATCCTAGTCAGCGCTAGATATTCAAAGGCATATCTCTTCAGTCAATAGTTATTACTTACATGCTATTCGCATCCATTCTAGTCAGTATTATATGCTTCAAGTCATTGATCTTAAATCAAGGGTCATCACTTACCAACTATTCACATCCATCACAGTCAGCGCTATATACTCCAAGTCATCAATCTTAAAAATAAGTCAAGGGTCATCACTTACCAACTATTCACATCCATCACAGTCAGCGCTATATACGCCAAGTCATCGATCTTAAAAATAAGTCAAGGGTCATCACTTACAGGCTATTCATATCAATCCTAGTCAGTACTCCAACCTATCATTTTCAATGGTTGGAAATTTTCATACCTGTCTTTCAGCTATTTTATTACCAGATGATCCATCCACAGGTCCTGCCACCGTAAATGCGGTAAAGAACAATGCTATTGCTAGAGACAGCACCTTCATATTGACAATTATACTTGTTGTGGATGTTGCTGGCGTGTTTGATTTGGTGGTTGATTTGGTGGTTCAACAGGAAGACTGATTCAAGTGGTATCAGAAGAATATATTGGCTATTTATGATAAAACGAATTTTGCTCTCACCGCAATGAATCAAGGCCGGGGATCATGCAGGATCCACATATTTAGGACGCAATTTGTAAATTCCTGCTTGTCCCTTGCATCACACATATTTTCTTTGTTCTTCTTATGAACGTAATCTATAGCCATACTGGGGAAGCAGGATGATTAACTATCCTTACTATTTAATATTTATTATGTGCTGTAAATACAAAGAATAATTGAGGTAGAGGGAGCAGTAAGAGCAGGATCAGCATCTAGATGTCACCCTATGTGATGCAAGCAATGTCTAGTAAAGTTGGTGCGATTTCGGTATGGGACGCCGAATTTAAAAAAGGTTGTGGGCTTAGTGGGGCTGAATAAGCTGGTGTTTTAAACTACCAATTACAAGAATTTCATATGCTGCACATCTTTGAATCAAGGATAGCACTCTCTGAGGCCCTATAATACTATCTGAATAATGCTTCAAGACGATGTGGGAGTTTTTAATCCCTACAGCACGATATTGTGCGAATATTTGGTTCCGTGGGGCATGGGACTAGCACCTTCCTAGGATCAGCTCGAGCCGAGCCTAAAGACATCATAGCATATAGCTTTCCCCCCGATCTGATAATTAATCGTCAATGTTGGTTTCGCCACAGAAGCAGCAGAATAAGCTTTCGCATTTTCCCTTCGTGCGCTTGAAACGGGGGGAAAGGCGATGGAATAAGGCTCATTATCGCGTAATGCACTTGATCTTGTTTTTCAGGCTCGGGCCGGGTAAGTTCCTGGAAGGCGCTAATCCCGACTCAGGGAGGACCAAGTCACTTCTGGATGTGGGAGGCCTGCCAATATAGTTTCCTCCCTCAGCGCTGCGTAGTCACCTGATCGTGAGGCTAAGGGCATATGCCCGTAATTCAGCTAAGACTCAGGCAGTATCTCTTCACATAGACCTAAATAACATATTTTTCGTGGAATCGATATCGTTGCCTGGCAACAACGATGGAATCCAGGTCGGATATAACTGTGGATCAGTCACGGTAGAGTGACATCTGCCTGCGGGTAAGATGGAGGAATGGGACAATGCTTGCGTGATTTAGGATGAAGTAGATGTAGATCCTGCTCGTACTGCTCTAATAATTACGTGAATCTGCGTTAATCCTTCTCAAAATTCCTAAATGTTAGTTGGAAATGATACGTAAAACCCCTCCTTGCATAATATGTCCATGTTTGCTTCCATAAAAATAAAAAATAAAAACTTATGTGATACAAGGGAGATGATAGAGGTTGCATGATAGATATTAAATATGTAGATCCTCAAGTATCTCCCTCCTTGAGTAATTCTGGTGAGAGGAATATTTATGTCATTATCAATAGTACACTTCTATACCACCGTTTCAAACACTTTAGCTACCTTCCACAGCCAGTCCAACCCTATCAACATAAAGGTATTTTCTCTTATTATGGCATTTGTCTTTGCCGTGCTTGTGGCAGCAAGACCTGTGGATGAATCATCGAGCAATATAGTAGCTGAGAGACAGGTATGGGGATTTTCATCCAAGGAACGGTCCAAATAACATTCAAGTGCTGACTGGGATGGACATGAATAGGCTGTAAGTGACGACCCTTGACTGAAGACCGATGGCTTTGAGCACGCAGACTGACTGGGATGGACCTGTACAGATTTCGTGGGGTTTAAACCAGGGTTCAGGAAAGAATCAAAGAGACTGAAGTGGTAATGACTGATTTCGATCCTTCCTGTATGCACTTCACTCACACAAAGACTATGCAGCTGAGTGGCTGACAGACTAAAATCCGAACCTTTGGCCTATTAACCGGATTAGGGAGATTCCCTTTTGTTTGCCTTGTTTGCAGGATCAACATTCTATAGGGATGGCAAAACGAAAATTCGAGAATTCGAA